CACCCCCAAATCTCCAAGCATCACCCAGCCTGGACCTGGCAAACCCTACTGTGATGTCACGTGACTTTTCTCATCATGTGCTTTTCTGCAGCACTGTGGGTTCTAGTCTAGAAAGGGTGAAGACCACACTTTTAGGCCATCATCTTGTGACATTCTCTGGTGCCTTGAAATTGGTTCCCCTCTCCTCCCGCACCTCAAACAGAAAAAAACAAATTTGGTTTTCATAGGTTTGCCCGCTGGTCATGTCATGGGCTATGGAACACGGAATATTAACAAGTCTAATAGTTGTAGCTCAGGTCCCCCTACTGCTAGATCCACGACAATTCCATACTCCATTCCCACTTCAGTTGCCAACCTCCAAGTGGCCCCTGGAGATCTCCTGTCATTACAGTTGGTCTCCAGACCACAAAGATCAGTTCTGCAGTTTGGTGTTGTGGTTAAATGCGTGGACTTCAATCTGGGAGAGCCGGGTTTGATTCCCCACTCCTCCACTTGTATCTGGCTGGATGACCTTGGGCAAGCCGTAGTTCTGATAAGAGCTGTTCTTGAAAAAAAAAGCAGTTTCTGTCAGAGTTCTCTCAGCCCCACCTACCTCACAGGGTGTCTGTTGTGGGGAGGGGAAGGGAAAGGAGATTGTAAGCCACTCTGAGACTCCCTTGGGTAGTGCAGGGCTGGGTATAAATCCAATCTCCTCTTCTTCTTCTTAAGTGCGTGGACTCCCCACTCCTCCACTCGCAGCTGCTGGATGACCTTGGGCAAGCCATAGTTCTGTCAGAGCTGTTCTTGAAAGAGCAGTCCTCAAAAGAGTTCTCTCGGTCCCACCAACCTCACAGGGTGTCTGTTGTGGGGAGGGGAAGGGAAAGGAGGCTTTTAGCAGCTCTGAGACTCCCGAGTGAAGGGCAGGGTATAAATCCAGTCCCCCCCCCCTTGAGAAAATGGCTGCTTTGGAGGGTGGAATGTTTGGCATGATAGTCTGCTAAGGTCCCTCCCCATACCCCTCCCTCCCCAGGCTCCACCCCCCAAATCTCCAGGTGTTTTCCAACCTAGAACTGGCACTCCCCGATCCCCACCCACATTACTTGAGAAACACCATGCTGGAAATAGCTGAACTGCTATTGACTGCACGTTACTGCCCCCAACTCTGAGATCTCCCTTGAAGAGTCATTCTCTTGATATGATGAGTTTCCCTTGGTCACTGAGTGCTGAATCGATAGGCTGACATTCTCAGCGTAATCAAATTAGTTTTGTAAATGCTAGTTTTCTGCCATGTGTTATTTTTTTTGTCGCACCCAGCATCATTACCTGCCCAGGGCTGCACACCTGTTTGCATTCATAGATAGGCCCGAGGCTTACTTGTGTTGTTGACCTTTGATCATAACTGGTACACTAATTCCAAGCCTCCTGTGCAGTCGGACAGGGTCACGGGCATGGCCGTTTGTTTGGGCAGGATGGGCTGTGCCTCCACAGCCCCATGTCTTGTTCATTGATAGTTCATTGACTACCATGTTACGGAAGCAGTTTGCACTGTTTTAAGGCTGATTTGCAGGGTAGAGTCCATACCTCTGTGGTAGAGAGTCCGCTTTGCATGCAGAAGGTCCCAGGTTCAATCCCCAGCATCTTCCATTTTAAAATATCAGATAGTGGCCAATGGGAATGACTTCAGTCTGAGACCCTGGAGAGCTGCTGCCAATCCAGATATCAAGGACTGACCCTGGCAGACCAGCGGTCTGACTCTGTATATAGCAGCGTCATATGCAGCATCACCGTCACTTAAGCTCAGAATTGGGGGTTTCCCTTCACTGGTGCTACGGCAAAGTGGTCTTGTAAAGGTGTTGCCGATGGTGAACTCAAGTTACCGCTTCTTAACCCTCAGGTTCTCTAACATTGCTCAAGATGTGGATAACCAGCAAACTTCCCATTTTCTCATGTGAGGAGGATCATTACCTTGTGGTGACCCTTTGGGCCCATTGGCCAGCTTGCATTAGAATCCGCCTCTCCCGTAGCAACTATGGCCCCAGAGGGTGTTGTGTGCAGGCAGGGATGGTGAACGCCAGGGGAATGGGCTTGGAAGGAGGGACCTTGTCTATCCCCTCGCCCTGCACAACTCTTGTTTTTTTTCCTTGCTTCATTTCATGACAAATTCATTTCATAGGTGAAGGCCACGCAGGGTCCACTCCAGGCTTCTCATGAGAAACTGGTTTGTCGGGTTCTGTCAACCATCCAGCCCGGGTCATCTTTCAGTGGAGGCCATCCGCACAGCATAAGCCACCCCTAGCTTCAGTGCCTCTCCCGGGGGGGCTTGCAGATCGTCTATATTAAGAGCTTCCTTCGCTTCTGTTGTTGTTTCATTTTATCATTGATTAAAAATTACACCATGTCGAAACCCAGATATGTCGAGTTGTTTCTCTGCCACGTGTTTTGCCCCCCCCCAATTAAACAACATATACATCAAAGATTCAAACTATAAATCTCTGTTTAATATTGGAGAATTAAGTCTTGTATTTGTATTTACATTCCACCGAGGTAAATAGACATCCTATGAATTCCCGAAATCCTTTGACCAGGCCTGGGAAGTGAGGTGGCTTAGATGGCTAAGCGATTAACTCCTGAAGAGCAAGCTTCTGAAAAGCCAGTTTGCCAATAAAGGGGCTCCCCTCTCCCTCCCGTCGGGCCACGGTGCCCTTCTCGGGGAAGGAACGGATCATGTCTGAGTGCCCTCCTTTCTGATGTCAGAGGCCCACCAGAGTTTGTAGGTGCACACCTGTTCAGATCTCTCTCACTTTGATCTCCATAGTAGACACAGCCTCTTTCTCATAGAAAATGGGATCCACACTGGATGGGCACACTGCAAGTCTCCCAGTTTTGTTCATGCTCCTCATTTTAAAAAATTGCTATAGAAGATAACCTGTGCTCATATCTGCCCGCAGGCAGAGATTGCAGTGCTAGCGATGTGACTAAGGCCTGCATCTCTCAGTATTAGGTGTGGAGGGTCGCACCAGAGGAAACTGGCTGTTAAAATACTAATATTGCAGCGGAACAAGGTTTGAGTCCAGAGGCACCTTTAAGACCAACAGAGTTTCATTCAAAGTATAAGCTTTTGTGTGCATGCACACTGCCTCAAATTAGAAGTATCTGAAGAAGTGTGCGGTTCCTCACTGGCCACCAGAACAGGGAAGGGACCACTGTTTCACGCAACCAGTAGATGCATCCAACGTTCTGGAGGAAGGAACCGCCATCTTCAAGAGCCTGGGCAAAAACAGGAAGCTGCAGCAATAGTCCCACACCACTGTTCGAAGAGAAGGGAAAAGGGCTGGGGAGGAAGAGAGGCACCCAAAACCTCTGTGCTGCGTGGACAGGATGAGGAAAATCAGTTGGCATGCCCGCCAGCAACAGTGGTTACCCACTGCAATATTAGATTCAGGTGGGTAGCCGTGCTGAAGCAGTGGGACAAAGTTTGAGTCCAGTGGCGCCTTTAAGACCAACAGAGTTCAATCCTGGGTATATATATTTTTGTGTGCAAGCCTTTTTTGATTAAAAGGCCACTTCAGGATGGCCTGTTCTTGCAGTCCATATCTCCACATTTGTGGCACACAGTCTTTTGCTTGTTTGATGAAATCTATTCGAAGCAGGAGCTCTCGGCCTGTGTCTTGGTGCATCCCAGTTTGGGGGGGGGGACAGCAGAGGGCCTCCCAAGACCCATTAAGCAAAACAGGGAGAGAGAGGCCTTGGTGGTTCTGTGGGAAGAAGGGGGTGGGTATTTTAGCTCTCTGTGTCAGGTAATTGGGAGAGGGACTTCCTGATCAAGTTTTCAGTGTTCAGGCAGTCCATTTTTTATCCTTTAAAGTCTGATCCTCTTTGTAATTGTTTATTTACATACATATGGGTATTACCAAAATCAGAGTCCCATCAGGGTGTAGAAGATCCAAACACATAAGATGTACTGATGTAGATTTTGGGTGAATACAGAGAACTCTGGGTTTCCTCTAGCTCTTCCTGCCAGTGGGAAAACCATACTGGTTTCAGTTACGCAGAATCTCTTCTGTCTTTAGATATGGACTGCAAGAACAGGCCATCTTGAAGTGGCTTTTTAATCAAACATGGCACAGGAAGGCGGGAATGGTGGCCTTAGAATGGCCTTTCAAGGCTGTGTCTCTCACCTTTACCATTGAATTTTCTTGGGGGGGGGGGCTTTAATCTGATAGTAAACCTTTAGCGATCCATTCATAATGGAAGAAACTGGTAGGTAAGAATCTCTGCTGCCCTATTCAGTATGCTTTGGCCATGTTGTTCCAAACACGATTCCTTGTCTGCTGCTTTGAAAATTCCAGATCTCCACCCTAAGTCTCGCTTGAGGGCAGAGTCCTTTGTCCCAGATGTCGTGGGATCTTTCAGAGTTATTCCCCCGCACTCCTCTTCAGCCCCTTAACTGGTTGCCTGTAGCACCACAGTGGCTTCTCTCAGCACGCCCTTCCCCTTGCCTGTGCTTTAGTGCTCTGCCCATTTCACCAGCATTGCCCAAGAAGGCTCTTCATTCCTCTGATTTCCCCCAGTAGCTGTCGGCCATCCTTTAGGATCTGTATAGGGGTCCTTCTTGTCCAGACCTGGCAGTCCACTTTCTTAGTCTTCTTATACCTCCCTGTTTCAAGATGGGCCATTCCGCAAGCTCTCCTTGCCCCGTGGGAAAGGGCTCAGACTCCCGGGGGCCTTGCTGGTCAGAGGCTGTGAGCTGTTGGAAGGCAAGCTTGCTGGAAGCTGGAATGGTGCTTAGTAATTCTTCCGAGTCTTTGGACAGTCATAATGGCGATTGTTGGGGCAACATGTCCCCCTTCTGAGTCCTTGTTTGTTTTGAGGCAGGGGTGTGGTGGTGGTGGTGGTTTGGGTTGGGGGGGGGAGCATGCGTGTGACATTGTCGGCTCATCCCCGTCCCACGGTGGGGAAGGAGAAGGCTTGCTGGAAGGCCCCTCCCCCAGTATTGATCCCCTCTGTTCTTTGTGCCGCAGGTGCTGCTGCTTCTATAAGAGGAAAAGGAGGAAGTCTTCCCAGCGCCACAAATGACAGGCGTCTCCTTGAGGTCTTTGGGGGACTTTGTTTACCTGCCGTTCCTGCCACGTCTCATGGAATGGGGGCTCCTCTTGGGGGAGAGGAGGAGAAACAAGGGACATCTTAAACCAAAAAGAGGGAGAGAGAGAGAGAGGAAAAAGGGGGCAAACTTCCAAAATAAACATTCAGGTGGATTCCCTCACTGGTCTCCCTTCACTCACTTGCCCTCCTGAGGCTCCTTTTGGAACCGGGACCGCATCCTCTCGGGCAACGGGTGCCCCTGCTGGAAGGCTCGGCTGGCGGGCTGCCTTCCGTCTTCTCGGTTTGACAGTTTGGCAAGGGTTGGGGGGCCGTTCCTGGTGAATGTACTTTGTCGTTCCTCCTCCCTTCTCCTGCCCTTCTTCGGTTCTCAACATGATTCTCCTGTACCCCCCCCCCACCGACAGAGGAGCTTGATTGACTGTGGGGCCAAGTTGGTGGCAACAGTGGCGAAGGAAGACACTGTCACAGGGAGGGGGACACGAGTCCTTGTCCTCCGACTTGCTTAGTTCAAGTTGCACCCGCCACTTAGAACTGGCCCTCCCCGGTCGCCTTCCAGCAAATTCCACGGCAGTAAGAGAAATTGCAATCTTCCAGTTGCCTTGATTTTACTGGTTTCTGTGATGTCTCCCATCTCGGAACGGTTACGGAGAAGTTTCAATTGTTCTAACGGGACTGTGGTTTGTCGTTGCACTTTTAATTTTTTTTTTAGCATTGTCGTATGATGTGGTATAAGGGAGGGTGGTCTCCTCCCCCTCTCTTCATGGGTATGAATGATGACTGCACACACCTTCAGCTGGCATTCAGCACGTGCAAAGCTCTCCCCCTTCACCTAGTCTGTCTGCACCGTTTCAATGCCCTTAGGAGCACTCTGGGTTTTCTAGGGCCTCCTGTTTTGGTTGTGCACTGAAGCTTACTTGAATTTTCAGCCACCCGATCCGGCTGTCAGTGGACACCCCCTTGTAATGGTTTTTCCTCCAACGGTGCCTGACCTCGCTTGCTTGGAATTGTGGGAGTCTTTCTGCCGGCACAGGGTGATGGAGAAGTCGGCTGGGCGTAGAGGTGCAAATACTGATTTTACCGTGAGTGCAAACGGGGAAGCTGGGCGTTTGGGATGGGGGCTAAAGGGAGCGAATCTACGCCCGGGTGGTCCACTGTCACTGCCTTAGACTCCATCTCTGCTCAGGCCCGGCCAAGGTTCTAGGCCTCCTGACAGGGCATAGCAGAGCCATTGTGTTGCTGAGTGAGGGCTTCTTAAAGCACCCCCCCAAAAAAGGAGGTATGTGCTTGCAAATGGAATCGGCTGCCTTGCATTCACTACACATCGGGTGCCCTGAGCTGGAAATTGCAGACTTTCACAGGGCAGCTTTGGATACGGCTGTCCAAAGCGTGGCGAATGTAGGAGCTACTCCAGAAAGGCCAGGAGTGCCACAGGTTGATGGTAACTGGGCAGGGCCTCTGGGCTTCCACTGTACAAAGCTCCATGTCTCCTCTCTGCTCAGCCAGCAACACAGCCTTTGAATTTGCTTAATACCCTTTCTGGCTCCTCAGAAAGGAAGCTGCCTTTGTGGCCATGGCATTCTTTGATTTGTCAGGGGGAAACCACTCCGTGCCCTTCTGAATTCTGCACCCTGAGCCAAATAGCAGGCTTGCTTCCCTCCCCTTTCCTAGAGACTTCTGCATACAGAGTTTTTCTATCCAGCAAGGGGCATTTTTCCTGTTCTTGGAGTGCAGCTTAGAAACATTCCTTCTTCAGCTATTGACCATAAAAGTTTGCTCCCAACTGCTCTCCATTAGAATGTTTCCAGCGCTGTTTGCTGAAACGAGCCTTTCTTCCCACGTCCACTGTAGGAAAATCACGACTTGATGTTTTGAGAAGGGAGATGCAGAAATCCCTCAAGGAATCTCCAGCGGTGCATGAGTTTCTCTCTGCCAAGCGCAGCTGCATTAAGTGCTGCTCTCTCCCAGTCCTCCACTAAGTGCCTGGCACTTGAATTTGAAGGAGAAACTTTTCTTCCACCCTGTTTAGACGTCTGTGTCCTTCTCCCTCGAGGAGTGACTTAGACTTTCGCCCCCTGTTTTGTAAACTCCCATCTTAAACACTTCTTTTTGGAGAAAAGATTTAGCTGGGTTTCATTTGAAACCTTCCGGACAAGTGGCTTTTGTACAAAATCTCTTCACCTGTTTTGCTTCCGGTCCTTTTTCTCTATTGCTCTGGGGATCAGGATATATATATTGTTATTGTATATGCAGTAAGGGACACTTCATAGTCTTTAATCAGGCTGGTGAAGATTGAAACATCCACAGCCTGTGTTGCCTTCTAGTCGTGTGTTTAGGGCTCTTTAGAGGGCAAAAGGTGTACAAAACATCTAGCTAGAATATACTCCTGCAAAAATGGTCTTGGACTCTCAGAATACAATTGGAGTAAAACGAGCCCTCATAGGAATAGGAGTGGTTTAATGTGGCCCGGATCGTTTCCCAGGATTCCCTTCTGTATCATTTCAGCTGGCAAGCAGCGGCATCAAAGTAGAAAATTGGTACAAAATGTTGGCCCAGCCTGTGCCAGCGAGTGCTTCCGTTTGGAGTCTGACCATCTTCCCTGTGAAGCGGTCTTGGAGTGTGGGTGGGTGGGCAGTCTTGCGCTTTCCCCCCTGCGAGATGGTTCTTGCTCCTTTCCAGAGCCCATGGCTTTCTCCACTTCTTGACTGCTGACTTGTTTTGAACAGAACACCACAATCTGCAATACCCCGACTCGCTTTCTTCTCTCTGAGCGGCTCCTGTTCCAAACTGAGGCCAGCTTCGCCTCTGATAATGGGGAAATCGCACTTTAATCTTCTTGACCGTCAGCGCAACTGGCATTTCCCCCCCCCAGTCTTGTGTGTCTTTCCAAGTGACTGATGGCCATATGTTGTTCTGCTTGATGAAGAGGGCTGCCTCACTTCAAGGTTCCCTGCGAGCTGACCTCTATAAATATCCTTTCACCCAATGAGAAAATATCAGCAAACAGAGAAGGGCAGGGATCATTCTGGCGGCTCCTCTAAAAAGCTGGACTTTCCAGGAAGTGCTTGTCTAAAATCCACCTGCCGTTTTGCATTTCGAAAGGCAGCTTGACTTATATTGAGCAGGTATCCCAGTTACATGATTGAGGGGGGGATAGTAAAAGATCTCTCCATTGGTCAAAATCCACAGTATGCCAGCAAATACTTGCCTTTCCATTTGGTTTGGGCCAGATTCATCTTGCTGCTTTCTCGCGATCTCGAAGAGGTAACGCAAATGTAAAGGGAGAAAAATGGCATGTGCTTCACTCTTGACAAGGGGGATTCTCAGCATGTGTTTTACCTCCTGGCTAGTTTGGAAAACCGACTCCTCGTTTTCAGCCCTAATGTAAAACAGACAAACTGGCTTCCAAAACACTTGTTCACGGGGACTCTCGTTCTTCAAAACATCCTGCTCAACATTTGTCTAGTTTACGGCACGCAACTTCAAACTAAATCTTTCCTCTTCTGTGTTCGACAGTGGCTTCCAGGGTAGAAAGACGGGAGTTGTTCTTTCTGCTTTTTGAGAAATGGAACAGTGGGGGTGGCCCACAATTCTGTGTACACTCTCTAGTGAATGGGGAGCTCAGAGATGCCTCGGTGAGCATTTCCATCATTTCTGTAAAAACACTAAGCTATTGAATCCCTGTCTTCCCAGAATACTGCTGAAGCTTCAGAGGAAAAACAATGCATTTTCCTGCATTGCTTACCTGGCCTTTGAGAAAGCGGTTGCTTAGAAAGGCTGCTTGCTTTTTCCACCTTGCTGTCTTTCCATCTTTTTTTGAGGGGCAAAAGATCTTCCTTCCTTCTTTCCTGGTTCTTTTGCATGGTGTCTAGTGGTTATGGGCCTTAAGGTTCCTCTGTACCTTGGCAGTTTTTCAAACACTGTTCTTTTCTGTGTTCCACATATCCTAATAAGTGACTGAAATGGAACCGGTTTCTCAGCCTCCCTTTAAGTAGATGCAGAATAAATGAAGAAGAGAACCGCTTAAGAGCTGTTGAATTGAGAACTCAGTGTACCCTGTAGTGCCGCATCTACAAGAAAACGTCAGTATTTTGAATGCAGCTGTGTGAAGCCAGTCCTTGGATGTACGGATGAGCAGTAGGTTCTTCTGTATGCTTGTGTTTCACTACCAGACTTGGTGAAGCCCACCCACTCCTCCCTTCCCTCCGTGTAAGGAATGTAGGTGGTGCCACCTCACTCCGAATACCCCACCAGTCTGAGTCATTAACCTAGAATCCTGCACCCACGGAGAATGTGGCTTCCAAGATGAACTGGGGCATGGTCCGAGCAGGTCGCTATTTTCTGATTCCCACACTGGAGCTTATAGTATCCCTTCCTAAGGAAACATCGGGTGCTGGCCAATACACGTTTAGGCCAGAAAAAGGCTTGCAAAGGGCCTCTTTTGGCCCCCTAGGGCTGTCTCAGGAAAACAACCACTTTTCCCCCTAATGAATGCTTTTCCAAAATATGTAAACTGCTGCATGGTGTCCCTGTGAAATGTGGATCCCATCATCTTCTCTAGGCTGAAAAACGCAGCTTTGGTACTGAGGGCAACCTTTCTTTCGCAAGTGGAGAGGAGAAACCATTGGTCATGGGGGTAAGTGGACCATACCAAACACTGCGTTTCCTGCAAAACAGAGACATTGCCGTTTTAAAGTGGCTTGTTCCCGTCGGACACTTTGCGAAGTATAATTTATTATGTCTTGTTTCTTTTAATGTACGCCTTTGTGCTTTAAAAAACGGGATGCTTGAGGTAATGAGTAGAACTCTTGTTACTGTAAAAGGAAAAAAATCGGCTGTGAATCTTTTTTTAAAGTATTTGTGTGCACACATCTGATTCTTGTTGAAATGCCTTTTTTAATTTTTAATCTTCATGTTAAAACCTGTGATGCAATGTTTTATTCGTATAATCCTGGCACTGTTCTTGAGATTCGCTCGGCAGTGGACAGTGAAGCATA